TCAGCAGGTTATAATGCTGTCAGGGAAAGGAGCAGGCTTGGAGTCAGATTTTACATCTTCCCAGAGAAACATGATTGTGGATGAGAAGAAATGTGAAAACCACAAACATGTAAGATAAAGCTTTTCCCCTTACTCTGTGCCAAGTCGAGATAAAGAGGGAAACTCAGTTGACTGACTTCTTTCATCCTGAAATGACTGATTTGACACAGTTATTCATAACGCAGCCAAGAATCCAGAAAGAAACAAGCAAACAAGTAAACTATAGATATCGCTCCATCTTTGCTGTAAGGCTCCGATGAAGCATATTTACTTTCAAATAAGACCCTGTTCCAATAAGCAGGATAAGCTGGTTTGGCGGGGGGTGGGGGGGCTCAAAAAATTAAAAGCTGCCAATTATAGTATTTTATTTTTATCTTATGGACCTTATAAATGACACAATTGCTCATCTCTTTGGATGGGTTACTTAAAAGCTCAGAACCAAATTCGCATTCCACTCCTAACAAAACGGCAGAAACTTCTGGGATGCATGTTTGAGAGTACTAACTTCATCCCTGGCCCAGTCTCCTTACTCTTACCCTTGCTTTTTCTTTCTCTAATTGCTTAATTTCATCTTATATATTTTAAGCTGCTGTGTAACCTTTATGAGTTGGAGAGTGTTTAAAGAAAAATGTCAGTACATAATAAATAACAAATAAAAGTGAGAATAAAATGCACAGGCAACATGACAGCAAGAAGAAATGACTATGAAAAAGTAGTGTACAACAGAGGAAGGAAAACTATTTAAAAAAAAAAACCACCAGATACATGAACTCAAAATGTTTATTGATTATTCTGGAGCTACTTAGTTTAAGGACAAGCAGTTTGTCACACATGTCAGGCTCCTCTGAGGAAATCTTTGTGTCACATCCCAAAATAGTTATTCATTTTCATAGTGATGAGTGAATCATCAAATAGGGGCATAGATTAAATACTGTGTATTCTGTTTTAGAAGGAAGAAAACTATATATTTCACCTTTAAAATGAATTTTGTTTGTAAAAGTGCAAGAGAATCACCATCATTAAATAACATCAGAAAAGTTAAATTTTCTGTAATAGAGGCGTTTTTGAGTTTTTTGATCTCCAGCGAGTTCTATAGAACTCATTATGTATCAATTTACAGAGCTGCTTCGAGAAGGAAAAAAATCTGACCTTCTGACTCTACAAGCCTAAGAAATGCTCTTCCTCTAAAAAATCTGAACAAAAGATAGAGAAAACAAACCATCGATGTAGTTATAATCTGCCTTAAGAAAGCATATCAACATACGACTAATCACATACTAAGTTCATTTGAAGTGAAAGGAAATTTCAGTTAGTGCTTCAGAGATGATTGTAGAGTTGGTATCGGGTTATATAAGGAAACACAGTTTTTGTTCAGCTTTATTGAGGTATAACTGACAGATAAAAATAAAAGATATTTAAAGTATACATTGTGATGACTTATGTATACATTTTTAAAGGATGAGGACTCCTATCTAGTTAATTAACACATTCATCACCAAATATATGTATATATACATACACACACGTACAAATATGTAATTTCTTGAGGAACCTCCATACAATTTTCCATAGTGGCTGCACCAATTTACATTCCCACCAACAGTGCACAAGGGTTCCCTTTTCTCCACATCTACCGACACATCATCTCTCATCTTTTTGATGATAGCCATTCTAACAGGTGTGAGGTGATAGCCCCTTGTGGTTTTGATCTGCATTTCCCTGATAATTAGTGCTATTGAGCACATTTTCATGTACCTGTTGGCTATCTGTAGGTCTTCTTTAGAAAAATGTCTATTCAGATCCTCTGCCCAGTTTTTAATTGGATTTGGGGAGGGGGGCGGGTTGCTATTGAGTTGTATGAGCTCTTTACAGATTTTGGATATTAGCCCTTTATCAGATAAATGATTTGCAAATATTTTCTCCCATTCAGTAGGTTGCCCTTTCATTTTGTTTCCTTTGCTGTGCAGAAGCTTTTTAGCTTGATGTAGTCCTAATTGCTTATTCACAACTTTTTTAACCTTCTAGGCAATAGCCTATTACAGGTCCCTTCTCCCCCAACCCCCAGAAAATAAGACACATTTTATCCTGCGGTCACTGGGTTTTGCTCTGTTTTGAACCAGGAGGACATCAGCTGCAAGGAGAAGCTGTACTTCGGCATGAACGAGTACAGTAAATCTCTTCAGTGGGGAATCACAAGCCCACTTCTGAGATGTGATGAGACTTTTGAAAAGATGGTGAACACGCTCTTGGAGAGGTAAATAAGGACTTTCAACCTTTTCTTTAGCTGTACTTGCATGTCTGAAATAGCCAAACATCTTTTGTGTCAGTGTCACAGGGAATTTTGGTGGAGCCCAGGCTGTGCAAATGACATGTGAAGGCAGAATAAAAATAGCCTTTCCTAAGATGACCTTTTACTCAGATGGGTTTTCTATGATCATCCAAGGCCAACAAAGGAAACCAGTGACTCAGAGTGGGAGGTAGAACCACTTTCTGTGTTCTGAATTGTCTCCCAGGCAGGCTTCATTGCTGCACCCAGAGATGACTTGGGCACAGAGGGATTTGCTTATTAAAGACCATTCCTCTGAGGTCTGGCCTTCCCCACACTTTTACATTTTCCTCTCTTTTCTCCTCTGTCCACCAAAGGCAAGTACCCTCAGTAAAAACAAAACTTTACTCTGAGAGATTTGGAGTGTAGACTGAAGAAAATTAAAGAACAAACAGATCATTTAAGTGAGTTCAGTTCTAAGTGGCCCTCCTCCATCCCCGACCTTGGGGTTAAGATTCATGACTCTCTGTCTCCTTTTACTTCCCCAATTCCAGGTCAAACTCTGGAAGAGCAAAGGGTTTTTCTGGGTTTTTTTCCTACCTGATCTTGAATCATAGACTCAAAAATTAGGCAGAGGCATTAGAATTTAACGTAATAGGGAATTCCCTGGCAGTCCAGTGGTTAGGATTTGGAGCTTTCACTGCTGTGGCCTGGGTTCAATCCCTGGTCAGGGAACTAAGATCCTGCAAGCCGTGAGGTGTGGTCAAAAAAAAAAAAAAAAAAAAGAGAGAGAGAATTTAGCCTACTAGAGGTCCCTCCCTGCCCTCCACTACAGTATTCTGTTTGATCATCCAGTGATGGGGGCAGTTGGGCACTATTTGATGAGGTACATTCTAATTTTTAGTAGCTCTAGTTCTTAAAACTGGCTCTAATTGATCACAAACCATCTATTTAACAAGCTGCCCTATAACTTTGCTAAGAAAAAAGAAAGAGAAATAAAGATGAGGACAGGGGGATACATCCTACCCAGCAAGTTATAATGCAGTGTCAGGAAAAGGAGCAGGCTTGAGTAGGATTTTATATTTTTGCAGCTGTTGGATTTGAGAAGACTTAACTGACACTGAGATGTTAATCCTTTCACAGCACATGTGATCTTAGATTTCCAGAATCATCTCATGAGTCTCCCCTTTGTTTCCCACCCTTCTGTTCCATCTGCCCTCTTGGAACCTATCTTTTCTTCCAGTAACATCATTCGAAGTTTTATAAGTCGTATTTTAATGGATGATCCCATCAACTCCTATACAACTTTTGTAATACTTACAAAACTACAGTTACGGGCTTCCCTGGTGGCACAGTGGTTGGGAGTCCGCCTGCCAATGCAGGGGACATGGGTTCATGCCCTGGTCCGGGAGGATCCCACATACCACGGAGCGGCTGGACCCGTGAGCCATGGCCACTGAGCCTGCGCGTCCGGAGCCTGTGCTCCGCAACGGGAGAGGCCACAACAGTGAGAGGCCCGCGTACCGCAAAAACCAAAAAACAAAAAACTACAGTTACAGTTTAATACAAACAAAACAAACTAGGGAAACTATTCACTTCTAAATTCATAGCTCTTTCAGTGTGAAATTTAAATGCCTGTATGTCAAAGTTCCTCTTTGATCTAACTCTGGCTTTCCTACATGGCCCAGCAAAAAGCATTAAGCCTTAAACTTGGATCATCTGTGCCCACTTCCTCTAGCCAAGTCACCCCAGGCTAATAATAGCTATGATTTATTGAACACTTGAAGGGATTGGCCCAGGACTGATTGAACTGAAGGATTTCTTTACTTTTCCCCAATCTACTAAATTCTTACCACGTAAGAAGACATTGTCAGAGACCTGAATAAAATCCACACTCTGTCTCTGACCAGTTGGATGATCTCGGGTAAGGAGCTGAATTTCTCCCAACCTTTAACTCAGCCTCCTTCTATGAGAAGGTGGAGTGGTCAGAACCCAGGGAATCTGTGGTCTTTTCCAGCTCTAAGTACTTCAGAACCACACTAGTCATTTGATGACCCTAACTGGTATTTGCCCCTGGGTTTTTCTGTGTAAGGCTGGTGATGACCTTTTCACTTTAAATAGAATTATAAAGCGGAGCAAAGGTGAAATCCCCCACTGGCCTACCCAGCTGCTAGGCGGCTGCATGTGCTACCAGCTGGCATCCAGAAGGGAAGTTCAGACTCGCCATTGTTTTGCAGGCTCCACGAGAGGCTTGGCCAAGCTTGGGTCCAGGGCCTTGCTTTGCCCATGCCTACTTTCTTGATACCTGCAAGCACCTCTTCATGCCTGCAAGTGGGTCCTCTTTGCCCATTTGTATTCAGTCAGCAGGCTTGGCTTTCTGAGGAATAGCACATTAATGAGAGGTTTATTTTCTGCCTGCTCTGTAATCGTAAAAACTGCCAATTTGGCAGTCCAGTGAAGGGTGGAGGGAGGGGAATGTTGAGGTGAGTCAAGGACACTCCTACTATTTGCTGGGCACCCTTCACCGAGCAGGGGCTCAGGTGGATAGGAGGCTACACCACTAGGGGGTGCTATTTCTCCAGCCAGCTCCAAGTTTTCTCCATCTTTATGGGAAGATATTGTTATTGCTACAAAGGAGCTGACCTCAAATTAGCAATAATAATTACTCTTTTTACTCCTGATACTCCACAGACATTACATTAGTGTCTCAGTTTCCTTAACTGTAATCTTAAGTATAAGAGAAATAAGCTAACAAGCATTCTAACCCCAAGCCACCAGCAAGAGGTTAGGATCTAGGGATGATCCATTATGGCTCTGTTGAAAATATGACCGGACCAGTGCTTCTCAAAGTGCAATGTGATTGTATAAAATAGATAACTAATAAGAACCTGCTGTATAGCACAGGGAACTCTACTTTGCCACACAGTGGAAACTAACACAACACTGTAAAAAATTATACCCCCCAAAAAAATGCAATGTAATACAAATCACCTGGGGACCTTGTCCAGCCTGATTCTGATTCAGTACATGTGTGGTGGGAGGATTTGGCGGTTCTAACAAGCTCCCAGGTGGTGCTGCTGCTGGGTGATGCTGCTGGTCCAGAGACCGCACTGGGAGAAGCTCGTGTCACTAGACTGTCCCTAAACCTCGTGAACTTGCTGTACCTATCCCAGCAGGTTTTGTGAGCTCAACTTTTCCTTCTAGTGATGGGGGCTTCAAGGTCATTCTAGAGCTCAAGCCCCACTCCTGTCACGAACCCCTTCCCGCCATGCTTGGTCTGCATTCCTACAGCACAGACCTCGCTGTCCCAGTGGGCCCCACGCCCAGATGCTAGCTCCCTGTGTTCTGTTGAAGGTACCCCAGGCTGCACAGCATGGTCGTCCGCTGCTACCTCCTCATCCAGCAGTACTCAGAGGCTCTGATGGCTCTCACCACCATGGCGTCCCTCCGAGACCACAGCACGCCGGAAACACTCAGCATCGTGGATGACCTCCTCAGCTGCCCAGGAAAAAACAAAAGTGGGAGGGGACACATGCTCATTCTCAGGGTGCCCTCCGTGCAGCTGGCGATGCTGGCCAAGGAGCGGCTGCAGGAGGTGCGCGACAAGCTGGGGCTGCAGTACCGCTTCGAGATCATCCTCGGGAACCCCGCCTCTGAACTCAGTGTCGCAGCCCACTTTGTGGCGCGATTAAAGGTTAGCAATGGACAGACGTTTGTTCTGTTTTCTAGGACTCCCGTGTAGGTGGCTCAGAGGCCTGAGTTTGATAGAGTTTTGCACATGTGTCAGTGTGATCTTCGTGACCATGTTAAGGCTAAACTAAGGGACGTGTCCACTTGCCTAGTTTAATAAGATTCTGTCCGGCCCCCCTTTTAGCACATGCATGCAGTTGGTCTTCCATGCTCTCCAACTGCAGGTGCAAAAATGCGATGACCCAATTTCACCCCATGTTTATTGACCTTGTTCGAGATGCATCTAGCCCATGGCCATCTGTTTTCTCAGAAAAAAAGGTAAGTTGTTCTTTCGGACCTCCGTGGGGCACGCCTTTAAGTATCATCCGTTCACTGAATCTTTTCTGTCCGTGTAGCCTATCTGTCTGCTCAGAGTGGGTAAAGTATCCTGTTTCATCTTCGGCGCTCATAGAGAACTACTCCCCACCCTTGTGCATGTGGATTCCCCAACAGTTTGCTGTTTCTTTGTATTTGCTTTGGCCTCAAGGCGTGGGCTGGGCTGAGATTCAGCCGAGCCTCCTGCAGAGGGATTTGTGCATGGCTAAGCGCCGCCCATTCTCCACCCCCGCCCCGCCCGCCTGCACGGCCAGGGACGCACTGCTTTTCCTGAACCCCTTCTGTCAGGCATGGCGGGCCGAGGAGAATTTCTTAATCAACTAACCTCATGCCCTGCTCAGACTTTTCTGGGGACTTTTATAATCCAATGTGTCCCAGACATTTGACAGCATTTCATAAAATCCTGCGTACACATAGATATGGTACTAAGCTAGGTACTATGTGTCTGGGGTAGACCGACATGGTTTCTGCACCTTGCACACTAAACACTGAGCTAAACTGGGTGAAGAAAAACGTAGTTTGACACAAATTGTATGAAAAGAGAGCACGTAGTCTTAGGGGATTTGCATTCCCACCTTGGGCTGCAGTTTACCATCTGCAAAATGAGAGTGTTGGACTGCATGATCTCTAAGAGCTCTAATTCGAGGATTATCATTTAGTGTTCATAAAGCATTTTGCAAATGTAAGCCTTTGTATTGTATTCTATTACCTATCTTGAATAATCCAAAATGCAAACAAAATGTCTTGTATTAGCTTGATAGGTAGCTGGAACAAATAAATCTGTCTAAAAATAGAAGCTCCTCTATTTGGTGGAAGTTGTAACATTTACATTTCACATATGGATATATAGATATAATGCTCACAATATTAATTTAGAGTCATAGACCACATTACAGCAGAACTCCTGGGATAACAAATGAGAGTCCTGAAATTCTTCTTACAGTATAATTCATAGAGGATAGGTTGTGGGACAATCTGAATAATGCTAATGATGAGGAATCTGGAAAAGCAGATTATCAGCACTACTCCGTGAAGTCTCACACACCTACTGCAGGGAGATGGTCTAAAAGGATGTGAGGCTGCAGGGACTTCTCTGGGTTTCCATTGACCCTGACCAAGTGCAGCTACTTACAGAGTCTTAGGTCATTTGTTCGGACCCTTCAGGAAGGCCAATCACTGAGTCAGTATAAATCAGCAGTCCTAAATAATATGCTCCTCTGGGCCATTGTTTGAAAACTGCAGTCAAGACCTGAGCTTCCTAGCCTGGCTGCTAGCACATCAGAATCACCTGCAGGGCTTCCAAAGGGCTGCTGGGAGTGTGCGCCATACACGAAGGGGGGTCTCAAGTAATTACTCCTCAAAGCAGTTATATCTCAGTTCTCATGAGTCGCTGCCAGTCACCAGCCACACAAAAGAGATTTCCATATGCTCAAAACCTCTCGATCACATCAATCCATCCTTTTTATATTCTCTATTTGTGTGGAAGTGAAAATTTGAAATCCCTTTGGAATGTTCACATCCTGAGAAAGATGACCACTTGCCAGGTGGTCTGTGTTTCACCTGTTTATTTCTCTTTTAAAAATTTTGTTTGTTTATTGGCTTGTATTTCTACCCCCATAGCCTGAAATTTCTATGAGGACTTTTCCTCTCAATGTGAATAGCACCCAATGAAGTTTCAGGCACAAAAGAGGCACATGTAAAAATTTGTTAAATTAATTAACCATTGTAGCATTCTTTGACTCTCATTCACTCTTTTTCTTTTTCACCTGTTTATTTCTAAATTACCAACTTTACCACTGACGAGATAGCACCAATGTGCCTTTCATCTCTAACGTTGGGTAAAATCCAATGCCTCTTTTTCCATTAGATGGTCTTATTTTGTGCTTACCTTTAATTATCCTTTAGAAATCGTGGTTAACTTATAACTTATAAGTACTTTGGAAGGATACAAGGTTTATATCTAAATAAATCAGTTCATCCAGGAGGCCTGTGAAGCTTTCATTAGATTTCCTTGGCCTTGAACCCCATATTATCCCTGAAGTCAATGCTCGCCTAGTCTTTTGTGTTGTCTTAACTGCCCCTGCAGGAAAATCACCCTGAGGGCATGACAGATCCATAGAAGAATGGCAGCCATCAATCATCAGAAGTAACAATGTGACAGAAAAGCATTTTATAGGGGGTTTAGCTAGCTCTGATTGGTCAAGCGTAAAAGTGTAATTTGTTTAATCATCTTTTGAAAATAAATCTCCTTATAAAACATAATATCTGTTATCCCATCATTATAACCCAACCTCATTCTTGATAGAACGATGAAATATATTCGAGGAGACCCCAGTGTCAGGGATATCATAAATCCAATGTGAAGGCTTATGAGTAAAACGATTCCTATTTGCAGAATTATTTGCTTTGAATTGGGTAACGTTCTGGTTCCCTTTGACATGAAAATATATGGAAAACTTAATTGGGGGGGAGAAACTTTCTTGTAATATCTTAAAAAATATTTTGACAGATTAATTTTCTAAGACATAGAAAGTCTCTCAAACTTGTAAACAGTTACGTAGATCCACTGAGTTCTCTTTGGCATGCAAACATGTGATAACAGATTCGGCAACAAGATTCAGGTTGGTTCTTCCAATTTTACAAGTTATACGCATTTTACTTGCAGTAATTGTTGGTATATTTAATTCCAAAGACTGGTTTTCCTAGACATCAACAAATCAGTAAACAAACTCTGTTATATCATATCTTGCCTGATATATTTCTTTTTATCCCATTCTGATTTTAGCAAAGGAAGTACCAGTCTATTTTAAAATAAAATTGTATGCATTACTTAATACCTCACTTCTTAGTCCTTGTTCCCAAAAGCTTATCTGAAATGCCAGTTCATTTCTTATAACTCCTGCTAGAAAGCCAATATAAAGCACAGTTAGATCTACACACTTCATAAAAAGTAGTAGAAACCACCTTATCTATTTAAGAGATGGTTTATTTTCTCTCTGCTCTAAAACAGACAGAAAAGTCTATAAGATCTTTTCACTTTTAAACATCTTTCAAGTTGGGATTTTCTTCCTCTTGATATATTCATGTTTTCAAGATTGATGTTCCATTTATTAAAGATATTCGTGTGTGTATATGGGTTAATATAGATGAGAAGCTGATTACGTGTGAGGAGTTTTGTTGAGATTCTTTTATTAGTCATTTACAACTGAAATGGTCTTTTTCAGTCAATCAGTCTGAAGAGTCTGTCCATTATATGAAGGAAGTGTACTTAAGAGCCTTGAGTCAACTAGTTTAACTAGGATTTCTGTAAGGTTTGCACCATCGGTGGAATATTTCATATTGTATGTTTCTTTGACCTGTGTGGCTAATGTATGATATAAACCAAGATCTCCTGTTTTATCCTACTGCGATAAAACGAAAGGCTACATTCTTCTAGAGTGCTTTGTGTATGTTTTTTAGTAGTAATTAAAATATATGTACACACACACACTTATTGGAAGTCATTTGGAACCACAGATGTGTATAAAGCCTGGCTGTAGAAACCTTTAAGAAGGTGGGAACTTAAATGAAGGGTTTTAATTTTATTGTGTGGGTCCCTTTCTACAGACTTGGAGAGGAAATGAAGCAGAAGAGTGGACCCCTCGGACGTATCAAGATCTAGAAGGTCTGCCTTGTATTGTGATATTAACTGGCAAAGATCCCCTTGGAGAAACCTTTCCCAGGTACAATGTGAATCATTAGTTTTTATTTTCCATTAGTTGCCCACCTGAGCTGGTGGTTAAAATTTGGCTGATGGTCACCCATTTCATTCACTTGGGAAGTGAGAAAAGAATTGTTTTATTCGGGGTTATGAGAAATTTAGCCTTCCTTGAGTCTTTCTTTTGACATTCCAGAGATAGCCCAGCAATCTGGGGAATGGGAGATAGCCACAGATGAGAAGTGTTTATGCATCGAAGCAGGGCAGCCAGAGGGGCAGGGAGCAAAAGCACTGCCCCCAATGAGGAGTTTTGGGGATGAAGTGTCTCTGTTAGTCTGCTGTTCCCTCAAGGATCCAGGGCCTGTAGGTTGGAAGGCAACAGCACAGTAATCATAGCACTCACTGAATGCTCACCGTGTGTCAGGCATTGTCCTAAATGCCTTACCCTTGTCATGCCATTCATTCCTTTCAGTAACTGGGTCAGCTGGACACTGTTACTCTATTTTATATGTAGAGAAGATGAAGTGACTAGCCCAAGGTCCTAAGCTAGGAGGTGGCAGAGCTGAGGTTTACATCAGGCATTACCTGGCACCGAAGCTCACGATTTTGACTGCTGTGCTGCACCCAGACACCCAGACACACGTAAACATGGCATACGCCTCACCAAAGACAGACTCGCCAAACATATCCTTACTTCCGTGCAGGTCTTTGAAGTACTGTGACCTCCGGTTAATTGATTCAAGCTATTTAACCCGCACGGCCTTGGAGCAGGAGGTGGGCCTGGCATGCTGCTACGTCTCAAAAGAGGTCATCCGGGGGCCCACTGCTGCCCTGGACCTTAGTGGCAAGGAGCAAGAGAGAGCCGCGGTCGGCGAGAACGGTGCCGAGGAGCTGCTCATGGACCTGGAGAGGCCCCAGAGCAACAGCAGTGCCGTCACTGGAACCTCAGGTCAGTACTTTCTCTTTCAAGGGATCAGAGGAAGGAGTGAGGAGGGGGGTAGGAGTATGGAAGGCAGAGGCATCTGCTGACTCCCATCCAGGCTTTCAGAGCCTTAGGTGACTCAGGCATCCTGTCCAGACCTTGGTTCTCTGGGAGAGATACTTGGAAAACATGACTCTTGAGCAGCCACAAGATACGTTCCTGGGGAAGCATTTAATGAAGAGCTTGCTAATAAGCTAAATAATACAGAAAATAAATTTCGTCAACCCCAGCTGCCACCATTTTCCCTAGTCTCTCTCACCCTAATCATCTCATAGATATTATGCATCTGATATTTGCACAAAGGCCTGCTTTTCCTTCCAGATCCTGAAGCTGTAAGTTTTTGCTAATTGGCCTAGTATCTGGCACAAAGTATTTGTTTGAATGAATGAATGAATGAGTGACTTTTCTAAGTACTTAATGGCAAGTGTTTTTATACTGAAGGCTACTCTGGGACCATGGGTTGGCTGGGACGATCCAGTCTGCAGCCTGCCAGCTACTCTCTTATTGTGTTACTGTGCAGTTGATGGCAGTGCTTGGCATCAGTTTTCTTCTGATAAATAGTATTAAGCAAATACAGCACTATTTCCATTTTTTTCTGACTGTGAAAGTTATAATAAAGCTTTATATAGAAAACTTGGAGAATGTAATGAAGTATAGAGAAGAGGTTAAAAAATGGAAACTCCACAGCAGAGGGAACCACCATTTGTGTTCCTTCTCCCCCGTGCTTCCCTTCTCTCATCTCCGTGACACACACACGCAAACACACACACATAATTTCATGGCCCAAAGCAGCACCAGTCTTTCTATTCACTCTGTCAGCTGCTGTCGGAAGGGCTCCCTATGAGAACTGAAAGGCAGGTATCTGAGGGGTTTTCTGACTTTCTGTGGTGCCCCTCAGCCTGGAAGAGCATGGGGACTGTCCTTTGGGGTCTGCCCAGCTGCTCCTCTCAGTCAGGGGTCAGGGCTGTACCTCCCCCACCCCATCACTACAGGCTCCCCAGTTCTGCCTCTTCGACCAGGTCAGAATAAAGGGGAGAGGTTGGGAGGAGTGTAAAGGGTAATAGAGGGGAGGGGGACTGTCACATCTAGAAGCTTTTGGATACCAGCATCAGTGACCGAGAGGCAAGGAATGTAGGGGTGGGGATGGTGATGAGCGTTGGACTTCCTTCCTGTGGCTCTTTAATCAGCCCCCCAAGCCTCACTATTCTGGCCTTGTTCTGATTAACTCACACAAAGGTAATGATTTGCCTTCTGTTTTTAGAGTTTTCCCTGCTTTCAGGATGCACGTGCTGCACACAGACACACAAACACACATATCACACACACACCCCACCGGCCTCGGGGTGACTCTGAGGGTCCTCAGGGGGCCTCACTGCCCAAGGTGTGCAGGCCCGTGGACTCCAGGGCCGATGAAGGGAGAGGAAAGCCCTCACACAAAAGTCAGATAAGCAGTGGAGTGACGGTGTCACGAGCCTCTGGTTACTGGCTATTCATCTAGGATCTCCCAAGGTCGGGATATGACCCCCAGGCCTGGGAAGCACCGGTTGGAGGCAGAGAGGGCCTGCAATCTTGAGTGTAATGAGCTTCCGGTTTGTCCTCAAGCCAAAGAGGGGCTGATGGACTAGGGGGGAAAACATGTTTGAAGTGAATTGGCCGCAGGTGCAGGGATCTCTGGGCAAGAGCAGCATCTCGCTGGGAGGAGATAAAGCTCTCCCTTCCCACGGAGCCGCTTTCCACGCTGGTCTGGGTGTCCATAGAAGGGGCTGCACGCTGGGGAGGTATCCAGAGCCAGAAGCGTGGGGCCCTGGGACCCCCAGAAGGAGGCGAGTGGCACTGGGGCAGGACTTGGATGTCAGCCTGTGTCGGTCAGGGGCCTGGAATGAATCAGAAGCCTTATCCAAACGAGGTAACCTGAGGAGAGTTTAATATGCCGGCAGGATGCAGCCAAGGAGCAGGAGATGGCGTGGTCGACCCCAGGGCGCCCGGACCACCATGCGGCCTGAAGACGCCGGGGAGGGGGTGGGGGGGATGGGCATTCCTAGGGCGTCTCCACTGGCCGACCCCACGCAGGATCGGGGGAGGGGAGGTGGGGCAGGACGCTCTGTCGTCCGCGCACCGCCGGGCCCCCCGGCCTCCAGGCCGGTCCCCGTGGCAGGGGCGGCGGTGACAGAGCGGGCGCGCGGCGGGCTGTTGTCCGTCCTCTTTCAGGCTCCATTATGGAGAACGGGGTGAGCTCGTCCAGCACCGCCGACAAGTCCCAGAAGCAGCCTATGACCCCCAGCTTCCGGAGCCCGGCCAACAGCGTGGGGCTGGACGAAGGGGTCTCGGCGGGCCTGGTGGGAGCCGGAGAGACCCTGAAGCAGGAGTGTGACTCCCTGGGCCCCCAGATGGCGAGCAGCACCACCTCCAAGCCGTCGTCGTTCTCGTCGGGGCCGGGGGCGCCGCGGTGGCGGGGACAGCCGGGGCCGGGCTGCCGGGGCGCGCACGCCGCGCTGCCCCCGGTCGTGATCCTATCTAAGGCGGCCTACAGCCTCCTGGGCTCGCGGCGGGGCGG